GGGGAGGGGGGTAGCCACCGGGAGGGGGGTAGCCACCGGGAGGGGGGTATCCTGGGTTATGCAATGGATCTCGGTCATTATATGGCGGTGGCGCATTTGGATAGGACATGGCGGACTGATCTCTGCACCAAAATCTCTTTTATGACCTAAAAAAAGAAGGAAAAAAAATCATCACGTGATGTCATCATATCTCGAAGACATAAATAAGACAATAACACATATGGTAAGAGACTTTATATCACACTGACTTTTACATTCACTAAATAATTGGAATCCCTTAAAAAGGTTCCTTTCAACTGTACGTCTAGGTATTACCCAAATTTACCCCCCAAACCTCCCTCTCTCCCCCTCTAGATCATGGCCCAGCATTTTCTTTTATTTTTCCTTTGTTCCTGTACATAGAAAAAGATTTAGTTACTCCCTATGACATCAGGCTTATAAAATTGTTGCAGTGGCAGCTGTCGGGAGCTCAATTCCAATTGACCTAGGCAAGTTCACAGAACTACATCTCCCAAGAGCCTTTTCCCTGCACATAGTGCATGGGCAGGCTTTTGGAGGTCAAGGCAGCAGCACTGTTGTGCTGGGAAAGAAATCAGTGCATGCATGTGGATAGGGACAGAGATGGGCAGAGTTTTGTAGTCCAGCAGGAACTCCTTGAGGTTTCAGTGCAGCAGAGGCACTGTGTTGTCAGCAGGGCCGAATTTCCCACCTGGCCTCGGGGCAGCACATCCGCCAGGCGGGTAGTTTTTCTCTACATTTAGCCCTGCTTCGGGCAAGCAGGGCTAAATGTATATTCCGGCTGCCTCCCTCTCCCCTGGCCGCCTCCCTCCCAGCCGTGGTTTTCGGGGTCTCCCACTCTTCTGGGGGACCTGCCGCGACCACAGCAACGTAGTTCAGGATGGAGAGCAGGGTCCATTCTCTCCATTCAGGGGGGGTTTGGTGGGTAAGGGGGCGCATTGAGGAACCTGGCCTTGGTGCAGTAGAGAGAGTATCTCCGGCCCTGATTGTCAGCCCAAACAGCAATTTAGGAGCCGCCTGGATTTCTGGCAGACCAACGGTTAGATTTCTGTACTGGCAGCATTTTTAAAAGGGATGAAACATGTCGGAAAGCACATGTACACTGTAAGTAGTGCGTGCGTCATCGGACTGCATGCGTGTAATCTAATCTTGCGGTGGGATCGTTACATATCTGTTCCTAATCTCCGGGTTCTGCTTTTTTTTTTAGCCGCTGTCAGAGTAAACACCGACTTATCGCAGAACATTAAAGCGACCGGATTACTGAACCTGCTCGGTAACGTCTTGAACGAGCTGCAGCCCTTTGTGAGCAGATTAGAGGAGCCCGGGCATCTGGCATCTGGATTATCACGCAGCCTCCAGGGCAGGTGCATGTTAGTGCGTCCGGCATGCATCCTTCTCTTATCGGCA